CCATTGAAAACCAGGGAGTACTGAACAGCTGTTTCATCCTAGTTTGGCAATCATCGGCAGTACTCCCTGGCTTTTAATGGTTCTCTAACTGATATGAATCCGTGATCAACTCGTAAAAACATTACTAACCCTTACAAACCAAACTATAGAAAATTAATCTGATGCTACAGGGTGGAGTTTCCTGGAGCTCTAGTGAGAAGTCGTGACCAGTGTGGTTCAACCAGATGTCACGTGTGAGGATGGATTTCCCACCAACGACATTGGTTGGGTTCGCGGTCAGTCATGAATTGGTAGAAGTTAGAATTCATGCACTAACCATTGAATTGGGTCCCAGTGGCTGAATGGTATACGAGCTTGCCTTGTAACCGGAAGGTCCTGGGTTCGACCCCTAGCAGTGGGTGCGTACTGCCGATGATTCCCGAACTAGGATGAAACAGTTGTCCAGTACTTTCTGATGGTTTTCGATGGTTCTCTAAATGATATCAATCCGTGATCAAGTCGTAAGAATAATTGTTTTTTTTTCGTTTTTGAAATTTTCAGTATCATTCCTTTATAATCTACTGTGACTCCATAGGTTTGTGTACACAGTAAATGAAATCCGTCTGTATTTGATTACTGATCGTTAACTGTTTTCTCTAACTTTGATAGTATTTCATTACAAATATGATCACAAATTAATATCAATCAGAGAACCATTATAAGATCTGGGATTAACCCTAACCAGAAGATCCTGGTTTCGAAACCCTATGGATGCCTATTGTTGAAGAGTCCTACACTAAGACGAAACAGCTTTCCAATGGTTCTCTGACTGAGATCAACTCGTGATCAAACTTGTAAGCAATCAAGACCCTGAAAACCAACACGTGATAATATTTCATTGGTAAAGAAGAGGGTATTTTGTCCGGTAAATTACGTGACACATAACACATACCACACATGCTGCTGCAATTTCTTGAGGTATTCGACAGAATAATGAAATGCAGACATTCTGAAGTGTCGAACTAACTGTTTTGACATAGTAAACTTATCACTTGAAGATTTTTAATTCAGTCTTGACTTTCCCGTTGATTGATTGATTGGACCGATATGTTCGACCTCTGTTGATGTGTTGGCTCCTTTGTGCGGTTTCTCCAACGATTTCTGAGGATGAACTTAAAGTAATTTGGTGGATGGTGACTAGCAGTGGAATACGGGATGCGCATTACGTCCTATTTGTAACTGGTCAGCTGGATGTACCTGCGATCCCTATTGGGTGATAAGGTTCATACACAGGCCCGAACTTACTACCTATGGTTTCAAACTCCAGGGCGTTACCACTAGACCAATTGAGCCATGACAGCCAGCTCTTGTGTCAACAGAGGTCGAACACTTCGGTCGAATCTGTCAGCAGGAAAATCAAAATTGAATTAAAAATAAATAATAACTAACACCTGTTGAACAGTAGGTGACTCTTGGGACCCAAGTGGTCTAGTGGATCACACCCTGGCGTTTGAAACGACAGGTTCGAACCTCGACGGGAGCCTCATCACCCACTAGGGATGGCAGGCACATCCATTTGACTAGTCCCAACTATGACGTTATGTGCATCCTGGATTCCACTGCTCTAGTCACCATCCTCCGAATTACTTCAAATCATCACTCATATGTTTCAAATCTGATTTCTACTGTACGTATTCTTATTGTGTAACCGACACTTTCTAAGCCCAATGAAACATACAGGCGTAACATTACATCAGTGTACACAGTTAATACAACTTCTACCTAAACTATTTTGTTCTGTCCACCCTCAACCATATTATATATATGCATATTTGTAATTACATACATCCGGCAGCAGGTTTACCATTTACATTTATGTGCTATTATGTGTTTATTTGTGTATGCGCGTGTGTGTGTGTGTATCTGTGTGCATATTTACTTCCTAGTTGGTGGTAGGTGGGTAGTTAAGTCGATTCACTAACACCATAACATTGATCAATATGCTAAATACAACGAGCTCTGACAGGTTTTTTGACCTACTTGAGATATATATATATTTATTTGCTCATATAACAGTTAGTATGTTTGTTCTAGTGTGTGAGTGCCTGTGTGTGTGTGTGTACACACAGAGACACACAATACGCAGAAGTCCGATTAGGCCTTGGATTCTAAATATTCATAAAGAATAGAACAACAAGAACCACTACTACTACTACTACTAATATTGTGCATTTTTTTTGATTTCATAATCAATTTCATTTTGGAATAAGAAAGAGTAGGAGTAGTATAAACAGAAACTTCAGTTGAATAAGAAAAGTAAACTCTGTGTAGCACAAGATTTGTTAGTTCTAAAATTCTGTTTATATTACCTAATTTAGTTAATTAATTCAAAACTCTAACTATTTTTCATATCCTAGTGGTCAGTGAAACTGTGATTTACTTGATTTTCACTGTGCACTTTTTACCACTATTCGAAAGTACAAAATCTAACAGGTGAAGTTCTATTGATACAGGAAATGTGGTTTTCTTCTATTCCTTTATGTAACGTTATGAGTAGAGCATAGGGCTTCAGCCTTGTACTTTTTAATTTCAGTAGCAATAGTGTCTCCTTTTACAGGGTGAGGCTGCTAGCCCCACTCCCAACCTTCCCTCCTTGCTGGATTTACTACCCCGGGTAAGCGAGGTTTAGGAGTGTGCCGGTGTGGTTGGCGAGTATTCTACCCCTTAAAACCACAGACCCACTTCGGGTTCACTATGTGCTTGCCTCATTATGGATAGGATTTTATTCTGATTAATCACACAGTGTTATACAGTAATATTAACTGATGATGTTTCGAGGACAAATTATTGCCACTCATAATCATATCAAGTCACTCACACAACTCTCTTGCTTCATTTATATACATGAGTGGAATTGACCAGATATTTGAATAAAAATCAGTATGAGATAATGTACATTCAGAGATAATAGTATGAGTGTTATTGATCAATTACAATCAGATGGGAAATAAGACGAGTGTTTTTTTATAGTCATAATAAGTAACTTGTTAGAATGTTGTGATGTGCTTGAATTGAAATAGAATTTTGAGATTATTTATTATCCTCTTCTGATTTGACTGACTGTTGGTAATAATATCTTCCATATCTCTGGTATTTGCATTGAGTCATTTCTGTTGCATGCCTTGGATGTAGACTCAATGAATCAGGAATTAGTAATCAATCTCTCTCTCCACCTACCTATATTACTTCTTAGAATCTTAACTCTCTCCCACCCTATTGTGTGGTTTTGTGTTATTGCATGTAGTGGAATTGCTGAGCTTTTTACAAAATGACTTATCTTCTCGGGGTCAACCATTCTTACCTTAGCCAAATTCTTATGTTCTGATAATCTCACTACTTCCGATCTACTAGTTTGACCTATGTAGTTGACCTCACAATCATTGCAAGATATTTTCTAAAATATATTATTTTGTTTAATTGGGTCCACTGGGTCTTTTAGCCTACAGAGCTTGTCTCTGAGTGAGTTTTTAGGTTTGAATGCCACCAGCCTAATTCCTGGTTTATTAAGAATTCTCCTTATATGGTAAAACTGTAGATACCTTACATTCTCTCCTATTTATGTTATCTTTATTAGTTTCACCGTTATTTTTATCTTGCTTTTGACCTTTGTCGATCTTCCTATTGAATTTTATAGGATAGTTATTTAAAACCAACGCCTCTTCTATCTGTTTCATTTCATCATTTAGGTCTTTCCTTGTGTTGCTTAGTGCCATTGCTCGGTTTGTTAGATACTTAACTAAGCCTGCCTTAACAGTTAACGGATGAGACGAATTAAAGTTTATATAACTATTAGAATGCGTTGGTTTTTTTATAAATACTAGTGTGTAGTTTGCCTTCTTCTATTCGTTGTATTTTACAATCTAACATAGCTAATTCTCCTTGTTCATTTTCCGATTCAAATGTGAATTTTATTCCCTCTACTAGTGAGTTTATATGTGTCAAATATCTAATCAATTCCACACATGTATATAAATGAACAGACAGTTGTGTGAGTGACTTGATGTGATTATGAGCAATAGTTTGTGCTCGAAACGTGGTCATCAGTTAATATTACTGTACAACACTGTGAGACTCAATCAAAACAGAATCTTATCCATAATGGAGTTCTACTCTACCACAGTGCCCAAGTTTTATTCTTATATCAATGTACTTGCTTCGGAGGTACATATGCTCAATGTGGTTTCGGTGGCATTATTCCCCTCCAGTAATTAATTAAATCGATCACTAGTAACTTTGTGCTTCACTACTCAAACATTACACTTTGTAAAGTGTTCTCAGCTTTATCATTGCTTTTCAAAAGGGGGATGAACAAATATGTTCTGCTTACCATATTGTTATATTCATAGAACTCATTACTAATTATTCGTTCTTGTCAGAAACTTGGCCTTTATCGCCTTACTGACGATTGAAAAGGCAAATATCAGTAACTTTCAATTAGTGAAATACATTCTCAGTGGTAATAGAGTTACTCGGAATAGATTATTCATTTGATCAGCTCTGAGCTGCGCTTGTTGCTTGATAGGGGCTAGTAATACTGCCCAGTTGTGCAGCTCGGGTGCTCAAGCCAATGAGCCATATCCCCGCTCAAATCCATTCAATTAAATTTTATGCATCACGTGCAAGTTTCATATGTTGGGCTATAAACTACGCTGTTAATACGATGTTGTTCTAAAAGTAAGTGAACAATGTGTCTTTGGGTGCTAGACAGAGTAAATCTGTTTTAGTGAAATTGCTAATGCTTCGGCCTTGTGTTATTAATTAATCCATAATACAAATCTATCCGTACATTTTTGCAGACTACACTTTTTTGTAGTAGAGAGAGATTTGTAGCTGGTTGTTAATATTTCCTCTGATTTCCACTTTTCTTAATTTTGAAGATTTTGTTTTAAATTTCTTCTGCTTGTGTCAAGCATAAAGATAATCTTATTCTTATTTTTTATTTTCTCATTCTTTGGTTTCAGTTTTCCAGTAGCCTACCGCCTTCCGGTCATGTAATGGGTCGAAATTTTGATGATGAAGGTGACAGTGATGTGAGTTCTCCTCAGGCATTTAATATATATATTGATTAATATATTATTCCTACACCTATCCCTTTTGAACAATGAGTCTGTACCTACACTAACGCATTAAGGTGATCCTTTAGAGATAGTCGGGGAAATTCATCATCTATCCACGTTATTATTATTGTTTTTTTCCTTTAATTCCTAGAGGAACATAGGGCTTCAGCCGTGCGTCTCCATTGCGTTCGGTTTTCTGCTAGAGTCTTTATCTGGTTCCAAGTCTGCTCACACGTTTTCATTTCCTCTTCACATCACCTCCCCCAAGTCACTCTTGCACTGACGACCAACTCACCGCTTTCCTTTCGGGTTCCCTTCGAGCAATGGCTTGTCTAGTGATGTCACTTGATGCATTGTTTCCTCAGAGTATGGCCAGTCCACCTCCATTTCTTCCTGCTTATTTGTTGCACAATCGGTTCCTGCTAGGTTGGTTCGCTCCTAGAGATCCCTCCCTGTTGCTGATCTTTTCTGGCTGGCCATCTGATCTCGAGTAGTATTGAGCGAAGACAACTGTTAATGAAGGTCTGTAGTTTGTTTGAGGTGCTCTTTATGACGCGCAGTGCAAGTCTCTGATCCGTATAGTGAGTAGCACTGACTTCACATTGGAGTTGAAAATATGGACCTTATTTTTGATGCTGAGTGCTGTTGACCTCCACACAGACTTGAGAGTAGTGAAAGCTTGTCTTGCTTTTTCGATTCTTGCTTTGATATCCTTATCAGTTCCGTCCGCCTGTAGTTGAAACGGTGCTTCCCAGATAGGTAAAAGAGGTTGTTTCTTCTGGTTTCTCCTCATTTGCGGATAAATCTTTCGCCTTCGACTGATAGCTAACCAAATGGTAATAGGCAAAGTAGAAATTAAACCTATAAACCACAGATGTAGTCCTATGTAGGAGAGATAATATCTCATTATAATTGTTAAAATCTCACACAAATCAGTTGCATTTTTCATTAGTCAGCATTTTTATGTTAGTCTATCTAAGCATCAATAATTCTAGTTAACCTACCATTCAGTTAGTCATCTCAAACTTAATTATTATTATTATTATTATTAACAACTATTCATCTGTTAGTTTATTGGCTAAAATTAGAATTTTTAAAAAATACTTTTATGTTCTAGTAAATATATTAAAGCTATCAAAGTATCGTATCATTCATTAACTTAATTCACCTTTGTTCTTCGCATACATTCTGCTTTTTTTTATAAAAAAAGATAATATTGATTCACTAGATGTGTCACTAATTGAATTTCTTTTATATATATACGGTCGTCATACGACTGTTGTTACTTGTAGTGAATATTTTTGTTTTGAATAGTAGGATTATTAGTCCAATTTAAATGAGTCTATCGTAGATTTAATTATAAAGTTGGTATGTTACCTTTAAAGTATCATTAAAGTATCCACAATGGATGGAGGCGGATTGTTCATACTCTGAGAGAACCACCAAGTGACGTTACATGACAGGCTCTCGAGTGGAACCCGAATAGGAAGTGGCGATTTGGTCATCAGTGTGAGGGGGTGACATGGAGGAGGTGATGTAAAGATGAGATGAAATCATGTGGGCAGACGTGGAGGTGGGTGAAAAGGTTGGCAGAGAACCGAACGCAATGGAGACGTGCGGCTGAAGTCCTATGTTACTCTAGGAATTAAAGGAAACAATAATAATAATAAAAATCCACAGTGGATGCACAATTTCAGGAATTAGTTATACCGATCTGAGTTGTGCGGCGATTGTCCAATGGCAGAAGTTTCGTCAGTCACATGAGAGATACAGGCTTGATTCCCGGTTGATATGTGGTGAGAGCTGTCTACTAGCCAAATTGGTAGACAGTAATTTACGTCAATATTTACGTTCCCAAGATTTGTCGTGAGAAAATGTGAACAAAGATTGATTCAAAACCGACCACAGCAGACTTTGCGTAGGCGGATGCAGTTAACATATAGAGGATTTGACATTCAAGAAACAGTCACAAATGGGCGAAAGATTAACTTTACGTGAGAAACAACCAATCGGAAGACTGTGTTTGTTTGCTTAAATATCCATAGAAATGTACATGAAAATATATAAATATGCGTTGATTTCCTTAATAAATGATCTGTTGCCTGACTCTTGCCTTCTGTCGTTACAGATACACACACACACACTTCTAAATCTTGCCTAATTAACTAGCCGGCAGTAGGCCCGGGGAAAAACAATACCAACGTTACTGAAGCTTCATAGCTTGAAGTTTTATGTTTCATTTGGAATGCAAAGAATGTCTGACACTTATCCATCATTCGCTCGTGCTATTTGCACATTTAAATACTCTTCAACAGTTGAGTATGCGATAAATTGATGCATTGTATGTCTTGTTGGCACTACTACTATATGATAACATTACATTACATTTCAAATAAATTCATGCTCTGGAAATATAACAAATCTATTAGGTGGTTCGATATGATCGGCAGGAAGCATTCGACTTAGGTTTCGTACTTGTTGGCACTCACCTGTCAGCAAGGCATATCTGCAATCTTGGGAGAACTCACATCCCCACCCAGTATTGCAGTAAGAGACGTCACCATCGAGCTGTTCGGTCGGGTGATTGACCTTCTGTGGGACTGTATTGGATACTCTTACTGGACACTGGGTAGTAAGCCACTAGTATCATACGTCTAGTCCTTTGTTTAGTGCAGACTGAATTCTTATCAGTCATGTTTGCAATGTGGTCATCTTCAAGATTGTAGATATGCTTTGCTGACTGGTGAGTGCCAATAAGCGCGAAACCTAAGTTGAAGGGCTTCCTATCGATTGCCTCCAACCATCTGATAATAACAATTCAGAGTTGCACGGTTGTGGTGAGCCACTTGGTATGGTGGTCAGATTGCAAACTTGACTGATAAGAATTCAGTCCGTACTAAACAAAGGATTAGAAGCGCATGACACTACTTTAGGGATTGTTTTCGAGAGTTGAAATGAAGTTTAGAGTAAGTCAGGTAATATTAAAGTACATTGTTAGGATGTCCTGATAGGCCAGTAGACAATACTCTTCTCGGAACTTCTCATCAAAGCCGGACAGTTAAATAATGTTCTGAAAGGTGATAGAAATGCCAATTAAGGTCAATTATTAGTATCAGTTAGTTACCGAAACAAGTTAAATTAAATTGTAAGTAATGAAGAAAAAAAATTGCGAAACTGTCAGTTATTTTTAGATAATCTAAAAATATTAAGTGATGAATTGTGCGTTCAGTTATGATGCTTACCACTAAAATTGCAAAGGCTTAGAAACAGGAATTTTTTTCACAGGAGTAAAAGATTCAGTATTTGTATAAGGTGTATTTTGAAGTTGAGTTTCAAAAGATTTTAATGTGCGACAGTAAAGTAGGCCTGATGCTGATCTGACGTAATTTCTAAACGATCTATAAACCGTTTTCTGTTTCTTTATCTGATGTTTTGTGAGAAAGTATTCACTCTGAGAACAAGATATTTAGAGAGGCCTTTATCACCTTACTATTTGATGTTTCTCTGTTTCCTAACCTGTTAATTTTAAGTCTTACACAATACGACTATTGCATGTGTTCGCCTTTTCCATATTTCACTGTTACATTTCAAAATTTCAGCGAATTATAAACGGACAAAGTTATATGCAAAGTTCTGTATTATTCATCTGAAGTACAACTTTCATTTTGCCCTCATAGGCAGATGCTTCTATATACTTCTACCTTTGTTTTGAGGAGTGTTTTTCTCGCACAACATTTCACTGATCTTTCTCCTTCTGTCTCGTTCTTTCAACGAAAGTTTGTGGAATCGTTGTGTGGTTCATTCGTATTGTTGTAATATTCCCAAAAAGTTTTAATTAAGGGAAGTCTGCTTTATCCACCACTGTTCTTTGTTATCCTTAAAATGCCATTAGTCATGTGAATCTGTGGTGGTGTGATACAGACAATGTGCTCCAACGGAATATCATGCTCACATATTCCCACAGTTCAATACTGCATACAATATATCTATTTGAACATTCGATTTGGTGTTAGAGACAGAATACTTTCCCACAGTTCAATACTGCGTTAGCAACAGAATACTACATATATGTATTTGGACATTCTATTTCATGTCGTTTAACTTAAACCTAAGTCACACGCTCAGTGATTGGTTAACGAATACACACTGTAGATATATGAACAGCGGTTTGATTAATGAAATATATACCTTGGCTCCTGTGTCTTGCTTTTTGTCACTAAAAATCCATTGAATATTTTTCAAATTCTTTGAAAATTTGTAGAATTGATTGCCTTTCACACATGGGAATTATTTTAAAGCTCATTCTCATTGTTTAGTCAAAATATTCACTATGACTCATTATGTAGTTTTTTTTTTTAGAAAAAACTAACGCTAAAGCTGGTTTTCAGTTTTAAATCTTTACACTTTTCGTCATCATATGTCAGAATCTACTTTTATTCTTTTCTTCACTAGTTTTTTCATACACTTTTTTCCCGCCTTATATACTACTCACCCAAGTGACTGTTATTATTGTTATTATTACCTTGGGCTCCGAGTAAAGCATAGAGCTCTAGCAGCATATCTTCACTACACTATTTTCCATGCAGTCTTTTTTTTAACTGACTCCGTGATTTCCCATAAGCATTTTCATTCCCTCCTTACACAATCTTCTCTATGTCACCGTCGGGTGCCTAATTTGTCGTTTCCACTCGAGGGTTTGGCTGGCGTGTAACGTCACTCAACGGTCTTTTTCAGAGCATACCCAATCAATCTCCAATTCCTTCGGAACATTTGTTAGGTAATAAGTTGTTGGTTAGTTCGTTAACTTTTCTGGCTATCCGACCTTCGGTGTGAAGTGAACGTGAAAAGTCTGACTACAGTAGATTTCCAAACGGATTTCAGATTGTCGTCGTTCTGTCTTGCATTTCCAATTCTGACTTGGATATCTTCATCTATGCCACCTGTGATTCAAATGATGCTGCCTAAATGAATGA